TTTAGAAAATATTTTTATTTTATTTTGCCAAACTCTATTCTGCATACCATTAGTAATATGACTGAGAAACATTTATTTAAGAAATGAACCATTAGTAATCCCTTACAGGTATGCATGACCTCTTAACTATCCAGAGTTACAGAAAGGCCTACCACTTCTTTAACTTAGGCATGAGTTTCACTTATAGTATTCTGAAATTAATTGCATGTCAAAGTTACTCCTATTTGTGGATTTCATCAGAATACTTTTAAAAGCATAAAAATGAATGTAAATCCTGTATTTCATGGATATTAAATTCCCACTATGTACTGTACAATGAAGATTCTAAATAAAATTGACAGGTATAGTGTAGTGGTTATAGTATTGGGCTGAATGTAGAAAAACTTGTTCAAAACCACTGGGTAACTTTGGATAAGTCAGTTTATTTTCAGCATAACCTACCTGACAAGGTGAAAAGGAAAGGAGTGCAAAGTACACTGTATTAAACTCTTGAAGGGCAAGTCCATCAAACAAATACATAGATAAAATACAATTGTATTTTCAGTTCTCATAGAAATCATTTCTGATCACAAAATATAATCACCATAGTATATATGTTCTGAAAAAAATCTTACAACACAATAATACATGGTTTGTATTAAAAACTATGTATGTATATACCGTCTTCCCCAAAAGACCTATCCTGAAGCTTGATTTTTATTTGTGCACCTAATATAAGCCCTACTCAAATAATAGGCCCTTGTTAAGACGCCACCCACTCCATCCCACCATCTGGTTGCACAAGGTGGGCGAGGTGCATGCATAAAAATCAAGCTAGGGTGGGGGGAAGGGGAGCTGCTCCATGTGCCCTGCACCCGCTTACTTTAGAACCACTGCAGCCAGGCCTCCCACACCCTGACACCTGTCACACAGCTGCCCAATTTCTTCTGCAACTGCTTGCAGCTGCTTGTGGCCAGACACCACGTGATGCATTGTACTGGTGCTGCTGCTCATGGCAGGCTGCATGGCTCATCATGTCGGTGCTGCTGCTCATGGCAGGAGGCTGCATGGCATATTGCTCCGGTGCCATTGTGACAGGTCACGTGTTGTGCTGTTGCCGTTACTTGTGTACACAATGGTGCAACGCAGCACTGGGCAGCATCGGTGCAACAAACCACGCAGTGTCTGGCTGTGAGCGACTGCAGAAGTCAGGCAGCAGGTGCCAAGGCATGGAAGGTGCAACAGATGTCAGGGCATGGAAGGCCTGGCTTCAGCGGTCCTTAGGTAAGTGGATAAAACATCTCCCAAAAATAAGACCTGGTGCTTATTTTGGGGCCCAAAACAAAATAAAACCAGGTTTTATTTTGGGGAAAACACAATATGTATGTATGCATGTAATTATGTATGAAATAAACCTGGTCAATTTGGAAAACTAGAAATATAGTTTCTAGTTTCTAACAAGAAATATATCCTATGCAATCGATAGGCGAGCTAAACAGGAATCTATTATTTTGAAATGCAGAATTCTAAGAAAATGTATGACCAGTAGACATATACTTGTATATGTCATGTGCCAAAAGGTCCAAGTAATATGATAAATTTAAGAAGCAAAACATATAATTCCCCCCCCCCCAAAATGATCAAGTATCACAGGGCTCATCTATTACTGCAATATACCAAGAAAATCTTAGTCCACTGAACGAAACAAGCTTACGTAGATTTCTGACTGCTGAAGTGGCCCTGAACTTTCTGAAAGGTTTGTTTAGTTACCAAACGTTATGAACATTAGTTTTTATACAAACCTGTAGCCACAGAAATCAGTAAGATTCATCCCTCTGAAGTTGGAGAAGGCATTCTGCACCTCTGACTAGAAATTGCAACGCTGAAAACACTGAAAACTTTCTCCTGCTGCACCATTAAATTCTGAAAGCAATAATTCCTGATGTCACGAACTAGGAGGACTTTGGACCTTCAGAATATTAAGCAATCTTGGTCTTCAATCATATACCCAAGTCCAGTAATTCTACACAACGGTTCTGGAGGTATTTTTTTTAATCCTTTCCAGCTGTTGGCAAGAAATTGGAGTTAGGGGCTTCTTCTACAACTGCATCCTATAGTACAGTGATGGCGAATCTATTTTCCCTCGGGTGCCAAAAGCACGTGCATGTGCTATCGGGCATGCCCACATCCATAATTAAATGCCCCCCCAATGTTATGCCCACCTGTGCATGCGCATGCGACCCCCCCACTGCCCCCGTGCATATGCACATGGCTTTCTTGAAGCCTGGGGAGGGCAAAAACAGCCTCCCCGCTCCCACAGGCCCTCTGGAGGCCAGAAACTGCACATTTCCTGACTTCCGGTGGGCCCAGGTTTTCCTGAAGCCTGGGGAGAGCAAAAATGAAAATCAGCTCAGAGTGGACATAGGGCAATGGCTCGCATGCCCTCAGATATGGCTCCATGTACATACATGCCATAGTAAATAAATCCTATAGTAAATAAATCCTACTAGTTTCAAAAGAGTTAGTAAATATGTGAAAAAATGTGAAAAGATAACCAATTTCGTTGTATTTAAGTACAATGACAATAAAGATTATACTTTTTAAAAAGATAAGGTAAGAATAGCTACAACATAAAACATATGCAAGCAAGAAGCATTTAATCTGCCATATGCTCCATTATTTTTTCTGAGACAGATGCCAGCATAAGATTGGATTATTTGTTTCCTCCATAATCTGAACTCTCAGGGATGTGGTCCAGATATGTCTTTGCATGCTACATATCAAATGCTAAATATAGTTTTTGGAAATAAAGGTATTACAGGATTCCATTAGTTTTAAAATTCTAGTTTTGCACAGGAAAAGTCTCACGCATGAGAAAGTTTTCTTTGTAAAATCAGAACCACAACTTTTCATCCTAAGGTTACAAGAAACATTTTGGTGGTATAAGGTTCAAAATGGTCACACCAAAGCAAGCAAATTATTAGTTAAATAAATGCTCTGTATGTAAGCACTTTTGAATTTTAATGTAACATAGATACTGTGGACATTAAAACATTCCATTTTCAATCATAAGATCATTTCATTAAATTTCACCATAATCATGTTTTTAAAAAAGAAATTACATCTTTAGATGAAACTTTTTCAAATAGACAATCTTGTACAGTATTCCAGTTTTGAGTGGCAAGTTGTAATGCAAAATTTAGATAAGTACAGAATGTAAAGATAAATGCATTTCTTATATCTTGGAAATGTGAATTAAATTTGTTTGCTTACAGATATAGTTCACAGAAACAACAGGTATCTATAGCATAAATTCTAATTCTTAAGAACCTAATTTGACAGAAAATGTGAAGGAAAAATATCTCATTTTTTTTCAATATTTAAGGAAGCTTTATTAATTTAGTTTTAAATTTGGGTTCACAGAGCATTTCAATTAAAGCACCTTTTGATGTAATTCCTTCAGTTACTGTCAACCTATTGAATTTACTACCTGAAAGTTGCACAAAGTAAACAAAACTTTCCAGATAAAGTAAATGAAACAATCTTAATAAGTTCAACTGTGCTTCAGTATCAATCCATTTAGCCTGCTGCCTCTTTTTGCTCTGTGCTCTAAGTATAAATTCAGTCATGCACTATGGATATAGAGAGGACTCAATGTTCAGCTCAGATGGAATTCCCAAGCAATTCTAAACGGAGAACTTAATTGTGCATTATTCAAGAGGTGACAAGAGCAGCTTCGCTAAAAGCAATAGCTGCAAATAGAAGGTGAGTTAAAAAAAAAGTCTAAAGCAAAGAGGAGTAGAAATTAAGTTCCATTTAAGTTGTGCAAACAATGTGTGCAATTTTTCATGGACAGCTCTGGATCAGCACCTTTAAGGAAGACATAGACAAAGAACAGAAGAATGTGTGCATTAATCCAGCACTATTGGTTTGTGGTTAAGGCAGCAGGTTAGAAACTGGAATCCTGAATTCTAGTTCCACCCTAGACACAAAAGCCAGCTAGGTGACCTTGGGCTAGTCATTTTCTCTCAGCCTTTGGAAAGAGGCAATGGCAAACCACTTCTGGAAAACCTTGCCAAGAAAACTGCAGGGATTTTATCCAGGCAATCTCAGAGAATAGGACATGATCCAAGGGAAGAAAAAAAGAAAACCCTGCAATGATGTAACAGGAACATACTTGGGGGTTTATGATACAAAGATGCAGCCTGGAACAGCACCCAAACTACGAAAGTCACATTGTCACAAAGGATGTTTCCGAACTTCAGAAGGGTAGTCCTGTCTGAATCCATTGTTATGGGAAAGTTAACGTTTAATCTTGTAGAGGACAGTCCGTGTGGATCCCGGCCCCACATTGCTTCTAGCCAGAAGTGTGATAGTGGTGCAGGCAGTATCACACCACAGGCACCAAGTTCCAATTTTAAATATCCTGCCTAACCGCAGGGTTTTCCAGCAGGGAGGGAAAGGAGGAGGATAAATGCCTTAATACAGCTGAGGTACCTAGTCCCGCCTGGGCCTGAAAAGACTGAACACCCCGGGGCGCTTCCAGCAGTTTACAAGAATCCAAAGCTCCCATATAACCTGAGCCACCGCCTGCCCAGCTCCAGAGTCCCGTCCTCTCTTTCTCCTTCGTGGAAGTTTTCCTCCCCCCCACCTTTCCCTCTTCCTCGATTGGTGCCTGCCACCCCCCTTTCTGTTTTCGGGGCCGGGTCTCATTCCCAGCCCCCCTCCTCCGGGACAAATCCAAAGGGCAAGAGCTCCTCGGGGCATGTGCAGAGGGCTAAGTCAGCCACACGCCCCAATCCCATCCCAGGAGGTCAAGAGGAAGGAGTTTCCCCATTGAAAGGGCATGACTTTCAGGGGACGCCAGTCCCCGGCCGGCACTTCACTTCTCCTTTCCAGGCCCGAGTCGAATCCGATTCCGCCCCCCACCACACCCCAACACAACCCGAGAGACCCCACCCCACCAAATGCCTTTTCTTCCCCCCGCCCGAGTTTGCTGCTTGTCCCCCGGCTGCCCGCACCTTCTTGGGCGCCTTGGTGACCGTGGACATGAAGGAGTATTTCTCCGCGTCCTCCATCTCCTTGGCTTGCTTCAGCTCGTCCCCTGCCGCAGCGTCTGGCACGGAAGACATGCTGGAGGGAAGCGGGCAGGAAAGGGGCCGATCGCCCAGGCCGAAGAACCGGACGGCTTCCCCTTCGCGGGCTCCTCCGCGACCTCCTTCCACGATCGCCGAGTCTGCAGCCGCCGCGCTCCGACAAGGGGCGGGGCCAGGGCAGCACCTGCGTCAGCACGCACCCGCGGGATCGCCCCACTCGCGCGCTAGGCTTTCGGGCACGAGAGGCCCGAACGCAAGGGCCGGGCGCCGAGTCTCTGCAGCGCCTCCTGGCGGAACTTGCGTTCATCGCTGCTCTCGGGAGTCCTGGAGGTCCTTTTGTTTCGCCGTATGAAAAGAAAAAGAGAGGTGCCCGACATCCAGATCCAGAAATCCTTTTCACAAGGCAAAAAGGAAGAAGGCGGACAAAAATGCCCATAAGATGTTGCGAAAAGTTGTGGTTGTGTGTGTGTGTGTGTGTGTGTGTGTGTGTGTGTGTTGGGGGGGGGAGGTTATCTTAGTGGATAGTGGATGCATAGGCTCAGTAGGAGACTTACCGATCCATTATTTTTGCTGTAAGAGCCTAGCCCTTAAATAATTCTGAATCTTATTAGGTCTTTTTTTAAATCAGTTTATCAATTACTTCTATATAGATAATGATAGAAGTAGCCTATGCATCAATTATTCTTTACACAATATTGTTGGTGATGAGCCGATTTGATATGTCATTTTCAATAATGGAAAAGGAATTAGAGGTTCCTTCTTTTGCATAGACATTAGGGAGAGATAACTTCAATATTAAAATCTTCAATAGTTCTTTCTTATTATTATTATTATTATGTCTTATTCAAGAATAAATGATTATTTGGACATTTGAGTCCATTGTAATAACATAGTTTAGGGCGTGTTAGAGATTAATAATGAGATTAATGTTTTATTTAGACATATACATTGTCCCATCAGTGTGGCTTTTCAGTAAAACATTATTATATGTTTTAATTCAATTATGAAACAAGCTTTATTAGTCTAAGATGTTCCTATTTCCATATTATTGAAATTGACAGATTGGATTCTTCAGGCCCTTGCTTTCATTAAAAGAGCTGGGCAGGTGGCTCTTTCACTCTGTCCACTTAATCACCTGAAAGCTCACTTAACAACTGAAACCAAAAGTGCTAAGATTGTTGTCACTGAGCAAAGCAATCACATGGCCATCTTGCTTAACAACTGCTTCACTCAATGACCAAGATTCCAGTCCCAATTGTCAGAAATCAAGGATTACCTGCATTAATTATTTTGTCCTTGTTTTGAGGCCTGATGTGAAACTTGTCTCTATTAATTCTTTTTACATATTTTTTACAAAATCTAATTGTCCAATGATGAAAGAAATGTCCTTCTGGGTTCAGCTCCAAGTGGGGAAAAAGACACTGGAGACATGGAGGTTGCTTGGAAATATGGTTTATTGGTGGACAGGGCCACATGGCCTGAGCCCTGAACAGAAAATGTGATCACATGCTTC